GGATGATTAGTGGGGGTTTCTCTCTTGAAGTTTTCAAGCAGTGGGCTCCATATGAAAGTAACCTTATTACACTGCCAGGGTATAGCTTTATTTTGTTGATTAAAAAATTTCCATTTTTTATATTATTAAACTTTTAGGACTTTGTTAGGACTTTTTACGAACTGATTGTGCTGATAAAATTGGATTTCATCAAAAAATAATCTAAATATTATCTATCTTGAAGCTTTATGAAGAATTGAGCAACGTCTCTTTTGATAAATAAAATATAGAACCAGGAAACTAGTGATATACCTAATTTTCTGTTATTTTTCACTTTATCTTTCACTTTGCTCACACTGGATGGAAATCATCCATTTCATCATTAAAATGTGACGTTCAAAGCATATGAAACACTAGTTCAAATATAAAATGGGTAAACACAAATGGTTTTAATGACACCTAATAAACACAAATAAACAAGGAAATATAAAGAAAAGAAAAAAAAAAAAAAACACAAATTTTCATTCCCCCCTGGTGCCCCAACCATATGGTTTTTACCACCACTTCCTGGTTCGTCCTCTTCCCCCTGCAAGCAGAAGTCGGTGGGGGTTAGCATGGGAGTCAGAGGGATTTTGCCTTTTTCTTTTGTCATTTTATTTTCATTTTCTTCTTCTCTTTTATATTTCCTTTTCATTTATTGTTATTTTAATAAAAGGGTATGATGGTCTTTTCAACAAAAATGTGATTTTGTAACAAATCGGATGGATCGAAACTATTCATCAAGGACTAAGGTGGTACCGACTTCAAAATATTTAAATGTTATGAGCTTTTAGATGAGGTAGTTCAACATTACATTAGAATACACAATGGTCTTGAGTGTGAAATTCTTTACATGTGTTTGCTTTTTTGAATTACATTAATCCTTCTGTGTATTGTTTAATTAGGTATTGTGTTGCTGGAACTATAGGACATAAACTGATGTCAGCTAAAACACCTGTTCGAATTAATATCGACAAGGATACCCAAATTGACGTGCGGTGTCAGGTTCTTACACCCCCTCTATATATTTTGGTCCGTGTGTGGATATATTTTGCTTAAGATATTCGAACCATTAACTGATGGCTTCTCATGGTCAGTTGATTGCTCACTGACATAGATATTTTGTTAGTCACCTAAGACCTGCATCACTTTTGTACATGTGCTAGGATATTGTGTTGCAGTGCTCCACATAATATTTCATGTGAAATGAAAACCTTTGAAGTTAATATTCTTCTTTGAAATTGTCAATCTTCGGTTTTAAAATCAATTAATTTTTGTTGGCGTTTGTTGAAAAAGATGTTACTTGCATCCCAGTGCCGTACTTAGTAGTTAGTTAAGGTAAATAACAATAATCGACTTTGTATTTGGGGAAATCTTGAATAGACTTTGTTCTAGGATTTTGTTTAATTGTTAGAAATCTGATTCTCATAGTTGTGGACTTCTTTAAAATGACCCACTTTATTGCATGTTCCAAAACTATTTATTTTTACCATGTTGCTAAATTGGTACCAAGGATATTGGTTCCATTTAACCATTATTTGTGACCCAATGTCAAGTTTTAGTTATTTTTGATAAAAACATCAAAATTGTTTACAATCACTTCGAATTATTTATTTGCTTTTCACCCTCAAACTAATGGTAAAAAATGAAGCTGCTAATAATAGTCTTGGAGATTTGGTCAATTTGTTGCTGTTTAGAATTAGGCTCATATGACCTGAGACTGATCACGCATTGCCTTATTTAAATGACCTGAAGTCTAAACAGCAAGCTTGTTGAATTTTTCCCACAAAGTTGTACGCGTGTGTATTCAAAGTGGCAACAACTGACTGCTTTTGCTGTGGTTTTCTTCTGGTTCTGTCATAAATATTTTACTTTTTTTATATATATACACCTAACTTTATCCATCAATTTTCTAGATTCATCAGTTGTCTTTTAGTCCTCATACTGATGCCAAAGGAATCCTGGATCTCGTGAAATTTCTATCCCCCAAGAATGTGATTCTTGTACATGGAGAAAAGCCTAAAATAGCTAAACTGAAAGAAAAAGTTCAATCTGAGTTGGGAATCCAATGTTTCGACCCTGCTAATAATGAAACTGTGAGCATTCCTTTTACGACTCACTATGAAAAAGTTGGTGCCTCTGATGCACTTTTGCAGAGTACCTTGAGCCCAAACTTGAAGTTCTTAAGAAAATGCTCAGAACAGGGTTCTGATTTTAGTGATCTTGACGCAAGAACAAAACCAGGGTTGCAGGTTTTCGATGACAGAATGGCCGAAGGGATACTAGTGGTACAGAGAGACCAAAAAACAAAAGCTTTACATCAAGATGAACTCATGGCTATGTTAGGAGTAGAAAGTCATGAAATCAAGTTTGCTAACTGTTGCCCAGTAGACATTGCGAATTCAGATACAAGAAATGCATTTCTTTCTCAACCAACAGTCGACAAATCCTTTTGGCTGCACTTATTGTTTGAAAAGCTTTCAAGCAAATTCCCGGAGACGAGCATCCAGGATTGTGGTGAACATCTTCAAATCGAGTCATTTTATGTCTCTGTTTGTACAAAAGAAATTTGCCCTCACAGAACTGCTAGTTTGCAATGCATGCCTGAAACAGTGTATTTCTGCTGCACCTGGTTAATAGCAGATGAAAAGCTTGCTTGGGAGATCATTTCAGTTATAAAAAATTTATTGTTGAAAGACGAGTAAATGTTTATCAACTATTTCTTGAGTTATTTCAATAAATTATGGACAATATACAGTTCCGTGTCAGATTCGGTCAATTTATGACTTGAGTGACATAGTTTTGATCATTGTTTGATCTAATCGGGGGCTGCCCTACCTATTTTATTGAGAATGTCACTATATTTTTAGTCTATGTTATGTGACATTTTATCTTATAGGAGCAATAATAACTTTTACATTTAGTCAACTCGGTTTTTTTTCTTTTTTTTTTTTTCCGGGATGTATATCTTACATGTCTTTTAACTTTTAAGAATCTTGCTGCAGTTGAAGGTGTAAAGAGAGTTGGACGTATATGATTGCATGATATGGGGAAAAAGCCTTTTTTCCATGTGCAATTATGGTCAGGATAAAACCCCCTGTCCTGGCATGGCGCCCCTGTTTTCACCCCTGTCCCCAAGCCGGGACAGGGAGCACGCTTCTTATGTTCAAGACTCTCTAGCAGATACAGGGGAAAGGAAAATTCTGCTCAAACAGGGGCTGTCTGAGGTGTCAGCTCCTCAGCCCCTGATCTGAATTTTAAATCCCTGTTACTGTAGTGCTTCTCAGGGGGAAAACATAAGTGGTATGCTTAGAGCAACCCTTAACAAAATTAAAAGAAATAAAAAATTTACTCACATGATATTGTTCGATATTGTGTATTAAACATGATTTGCTTTGGGTTAATGAAATGTGACGTAGATGTCTTGAAGAATCTTATTTCAATCTTATTTATTTATTTTAAATTAAAACAATCTATAATTACAGCTTTTTAAAATAACTAAGCCCCAGTTTATAAAAATCTGATTTTAATCTCTAACAAATAGGAGCATTTTCGGTAAAATTCTCACAATTCTTAAAAAAACAGTATTTTATAAAATAAAAATATAAAATACGCAGCTCAATTTATGCACATAGGCACTAAAACTCCGTCCATGGGAAGAACTTCCCTTATCCACTGTCAATGTGAGTATGGTGCATTCATTATTTTTTGTCAAAGATTTTTACAGATGATGAGGTTGCGAAAATGGTTTGAAGTTCTTTATCCAATTGTCAACGAAATTCTACCAAATGTAATTTTTTTATTTATTTTAAATATACATGGATTTTTTTACGTATAATGTAATTTTGTTCTTTACAAGCGATTTTTTACTTAAAGTATATTTTAGTTATACTTTCTCATATTATTAGTTACGAAACTTACCAGATAAATATTATTAAGATATTATCACCACCAATGAAAATTATAAAATAAATATATATAAGATTTATATTGGTTTAATTGATCTTCCAAACGGGAGTACCCTAAACAGTAATATATAGATAAATATGGTCTCAAAGTCTGCAAAATTTACTAAAGCCTGTATTTCATTTCTTTAATTTGTAACCTTTTTTCTCTTTAATTTGTTACAGCATCTTTTGCCAGCAAAAGCCAACAGACACAATTTTCCCATCTTCCAATGCACTTTTTTTTTTTTAAATGAAATAATTATATGCTATTTCTTGAATTAATTTTCACATTCCCAATACTTTATAAGAAAAGCAAAGTAAAATTTCAATGCTGTTTCTTATTCCTTTTTTAACTTTTATAAAGTTGCTCATCTGAACAATGAAATTCCACTCCCAACACGACATATCTTCCCAAAAGAGAGAAAATTATTAAAGGTCCATTTGGCATGATTTTTATTTCTTGATGAAGAACTTTATGAAGAAATTTTTTTAGAATCCGTTTGACATGACTTTAAAGAAATCAAAATGAGTTTTTAAGATTCAAAAACTGTTTTAAACCCGCTTGATTTATTGTACAAAAGTAATTCTCATAATTAGAATAGTTTTTAAAAGATACTTGTTCAATGTAATTTTCTCTAAAAACTTTTTAAAAAGACAGCTTTTAAAAATTAGTATCCAAAGATGAATTAAAAAGTTTTCTTATAAAACTATTCTACAAGAAACAGAAGCCTGCCCAAATGGAGCTTTAACTTTCTATAGCTATACAAAGCATTTTCGAAAAATTATCCAAACATTTTCAAAAGAAACTTTTTAATCTCAATAAATAATTTTTGACTTTTTAAAAGTCATACCAAATATACCCTAACTCAGACTACGGAAACACTTATAATTATGCATTCCACAAAAAAACAAGATCTACTAGACTAGAACAAATTAAATTTAGCTTAAAAATAAGAAAAGAAGCCCAAAATAAGTTTTTTTAAGACAAGATTAAGAGAAGTTGATTGTCCAATAATCACTAACTTAGGTTGATACCTTAAATTATTAATTACAATTTCAAATGTCAAGTTTTGGCACTAAGATTTTCAAAATGTTGGACTTTACTCACTGGAATGACTTCCATTTTGCCATTGTAACCAAATGGTTGACATGGCAAATGGATTGAACAATTGACATTCAACCAATATTCAATCACAGAGAAATGTATTTTTGATTGCCCATTGTATTTTGTATACCAAATACTACATTATAAGTTAAATTTTATGCTTAGGCCAAAGTAATAAGAGATTTTTAGAAAACAATGTCCCTAAGAACATTTTGCATCAATTGCCGCTCCATTCATTTACAACAACATTATCAGTCACTCACTCTCAATCACAACCTAAATTAAAATTAACCAAACTACAAGGACTAAAAAATTAAATTACAAATGGAAACAACAATTAGCAGTAAAGCCCCCGAACTACTTGTTTTATTGTAATCAAGCCCCTACCGGAGCAGCTACGGCTGGCTTCACTTTCGGTGGTCTTCCCCGGCCTCTTGGCACCCCACTTGCTGCTCCAACTGCGGTAGAAGGTGGCGGAGGTGGAGGAATACCAGTTTTCGTAAACTTTGGCGGCCGTCCACGTTTCTTGCCAGAAGCAGTCGGGCTCGGAGCAGCTTTCGGCTTAGGCGGCGGCGGCGGATCATTTGGATCCCTGGATTTGGGCGGGCGGCCACGGGGGCGAGGAGGAGGAAGAACGGTGCCGGGTGGAAGAGGAGTCTTCGGCTTCGGCGGACGGCCACGGCCACGTCGCGGCGGAGCATCTGGGCCCGGCTTCATGTAGTTGTTCTTCACAAATAGGAGCTGCCCGGTAGCCTTCATCTTGTTGAGGTGATGAGAAAGAAGGGTTGAATGGGCCGGTGGTAGATTTCCATAGGTGACCTCAATCTGCTTTGAAATTGCTGATTTGTTAGAGCCATCCTTATCATTCAACGCCTCGATCGCATTCATAATCAACTGTTAAAAAACAAGGGTTTGAATTTCAGCACAAATTGGGAGTTTAAAGATTATACGTGGAATTTTACCCCAATTTTACACAGTGACTAGAAAATTATAATGTAGGTTCAAAATTCAAAAATAGACCCACAAAGGAAAACTAAAAATCCAAACAATTACACAGTAAAATTCACCAAAAATCTTTAAATTTTAAAGCACACAAAATTAATCAACCAACCCAACAAAAAAACAGAAGGGTCTAGCTCTGTACCTCTGGATATTGAGGCAAAGCGGCAGGATGTGCACCCGTAGCTACAGCCGGCGCCGGAGACGGTGGCTGTGCATGATTAGCAGGTAGTAAATCGTTACTCTGCTGTTCTTCAGCCGCCATATCTATAAAACCCGAATACTTGAAACAGAAAAATTCGAATTATATAGAAAGAAAGAGAGAATTTTGAGAGGGAAAATATTTTCAGGAGGTGTGAACTGTGGAGCAGATGAAATTTAGATGCAGAAAATTCAGTGAAGTGAAGGGATTTAAAAAGGTAAACAGATCGAAGCAGAATCGTGTGAGCAAAAACGAAGAAGAGGATAGAGTGTTTTTTGGATTACATCAACGGGTAGGGATTCTTCGTTTCAACTTTATCTGACGGCTTAAAATTATTTTCATCAGATTCACTTGGATTGATGACGTGGCTGATCATTCCTTATCTTATTTTCAAGTTTTTCGGGTGGTTGAATTACCATATTACCCTTGGAACCCCAATAAATTTCTCAGGCAATTTGAAATTTTGGGAGGTAATCCTCTGCTGGAGTCCATGAAACTCTGTGCTACGTATCAAAATATAATTGGCTTAAGTATCAAAGTGTAAGGTTCCGCCATTCAAAAGCTTGAAGTGGGACCTACTGGTAAAGAAGAGCAGGGATTTGTTTATATACACCTCAGGAGCACGGTATTAAAATTTTGGAGTAGGGCCCACATGCAGTGGATGATCATGATGGCATCAAGAGTTGCATTTTGTTGACCTTTTTACTGCTAAGGTTGTGATGTTCACTTTTATTACCAATGAGAATAATATTCTCTCATATTATTTCAATTTCTATTTATTTTTTAAGATTTATGAGATATTCCTAACATAGGATAATAATATACTCATGTCCGTAACCGTTCACAATAAAGAAACAAGATATATATCAACGAAAATTTATTGAAATATCTTTTGAGTAGTAGTTATATGTATCTAAAAAATTGAGTAGTTACATGTTTTCTTTGATGCAAACTCACAAAGATCTCATAAATGAAAGAGATTTTAACACCAATATTATGTATCATTACTCGATCCTCATGTTTGTAGACATTTTCAGCTCACCAAGAATGCCTCGACGTCTCGTAAATACGAATAAAGGATTCTTAACCTGCTTCTTACCATTATTTTGAAATCACATAAGGTATCCTATTGTCCGTTGATCATGCAAATTGAAAAGGAAATTCTCTATTATATTTTATTGAATATATTGGTAGTGTATTTATACACAAAATACAGTGAAAGATAATTCTAAACTATGTACATGATAAATACAAAATAAATAAGAACCTAATCTAGTTAACTAAATAGGAGTATATAGTTGGAGGGGATAACGATAATGCTTTCTAATATTCATCAATATCTTCATCAATGGATTCTCCGCCAATACCCCCTTTCAAAGGCAGTGTGGTTGAATAAGGAAAAATGCACAACTTTGATCGAACCACGAAAAATTGAAGTTTTGCAACCCCTTTTGTAAAAATATCTGCAAGTTGAAGCGAAGAGGGTACAAAACTCAGGTGGAGAACCCGACGTGCCACAAATTCCCTAATGAAGTGATAATCAATGGCAATATGCTTCGAGTGGGACTTGGTGGCCGGGTTGGAAGCAATAAACATTGCACTCTTATTATCACATAACATAGTTGGAGGCGAGGATAGCTTGATATGTAGCTCACGAAAAAGCTGAAGTGTCCATGAAAGATCAGCAACTAGAACAGCAAGTGCTCGATATTCTACCTCAGTACTGGAACGAGAAACAGAGGTCTGTTTCTTGGAACACAAAGAGATGAGATTCGAGCCATAATAGACCGCAAAACCTATAGTAGAACGCCTAGTGTCTGGACATCCTACCCAATCTGCATCAAAATAACCAAGTAACGTAGAGGAAGAGTGTATTGACAATTGAAGGCTAAAGTGATAGGTGCCTTTAAGATATCTGAGAATACGTTTCAAGGCACGAAAATGATCTGTAGTAGGAGCATGCATATATTGACAAATGGAGTTAATGCTGTAAGATAAATCTGGGTGGGTAAGCGTCAAATATTGTAAAGCTCCAGCAAGAGACCGAAACTGTGGAGAATCAGCATGAGGCTCACCAGATTCAGTGAGATGAGAACCAACCAAAAAGGGGGTGGAAATAGGCTTGCAATCTTTCATATCAGCACGATCCAGAAGGTTCGATGCATACTTAGATTAGCTAAGAAAAATCCCTTTATCATTTTGAATTACCTCTATGCCCAGAAAATAATGGAGATCACCTAAATCCTTCATAGAAAATTCTGTGGCAAGTTGATCAATAAGGGTACGAATCATTTTGGCATTACTACTAGTAATCACCATATCGTCGACATATAATAGCAAATAGATGACACCATGAGAGCCATGATAAACAAATAGAGATGAGTCGGCCTGACTAGCAATAAAACCAAGGTGAAATAAAAAGGAGCAGAACCTTTGGAACCATGCCCTTGGAGCCTGTTTAAGACCATAGAGAGCTCGTTGCAAGCGACATACATGATTAGGAAATTGAGTACTAACATAACCAGGAGGTTGTTCCATATAAACTTCTTCTAAAAGATGGTCATGCAAGAAAGCATTTTTAACATTAAGCTGATAAAGAGGCCAATTATGCATAGCAGTAAGAGAAATGATTATTCGAACCGTGGTAGGACGAATGACCGGAATAAAAGTCTCTTCAAAGTCAATGCCATGTTTACGAGAAAATCCCTGTGCTACAAGATGAGCTTTATGGCGCTCTATAGTACCATCTGCACAAAGTTTAGTTTTAAAAAACCAACGACAACCCACAACATTATGATTAGAAGGTCGAGGTACCAATCGCCAGGTGTTATTTTGCTTTAGAGTTGTTATTTCATCATCCATTGCAGTAAGCCATTCCTGATGTTTTAAGGCTGACTTAAAATCTCTTGGCTCTTTAACAGTAAGATGCACCTGAAACCATGGAGGAGCTGACAAAGCAATTAACGAATGAATAGTATGAGGCTTAACAATACCATTCCTTAAACGAGTAATCATAGGATGTGGGATTGGTGGCGGTCGTGAAAAGGAAGAAGTGGGTGGATTAACACTTGAAATAGTCACAAGCTCGGATGGAGGAGCGTCAGATGTTGCTGAAGGAGGCACATACTCAAAAAGAGAATGAGAAGTACAATTATGGTCAGCACATGGGAGACACCGAGAAGATGCCTTGTGATGCTTCGAAGCCATATCTGTAGGATCAAGAAGTGGGTGGATTAACACTTGAAATAGTCACAAGCTTGGATGGAGGAGCATCAGATGTTGCTGAAGGAGGCACAGACTCAAGAAGAGAATGAGAAGTACAATTATGGTTAGCACATGGGAGACACGGAGAAGATGCCTTGTGATGCTTCGAAGCCATATCTGTAGGATCAACGTGTTCACAAGATAAAGAAGGATCAATAGGATCCAAAAAGGTGACAAAATCAGTGGAGAACAAACACTAATTATTTTAATTTGTTTTAGATTCATTTAATAGATCATATTTTCATTGGGGTTATATCATTCTAGAATGTTGTTGACTCTGGTATCTGCATTCCTTAATTTACGACTTTGATAATTGCTAACATTCTACTAAAGCGTGCATTCTTACATGATTCTTGTCCATATCATATGAAAGGTAAACAGGTGAGAATATGCATCAGTTTCCAGCTTTCACTTAGATTGAACTACAAAGTTGCAACTCTTAAACCAGTGCTAACTAAACATGTTATTCCTTTCCCTACTCGGCATTGTAGATATGAATTATTCACCAAATATGTTATACACTTCTTAAGGATCCATTCTCAGGTAATGCAACTTTTGATGGATTTCAGTTTGGTCATATAATAAACTGCTTCTTGGACAAATTTGCTATGTGTTTAATATGTTATAGCCACTGGTTGTCATGAACGTGCAAATTAAATCTCTCTAATTTAAGATTATCAGCAACCTTGCTTGTGCTGGATGCATTCTACCATTTACCTTGACTATTCATTTATTATGGATATGAGTACAAAACAAAACTGTCATAATAGAACTAATGTTTGAATGTCGCAGTTTGCAGTTTTGATCGTTCCCTGATAAATGCTCCAGGACCTTGTGTTCTCTTTGCTACTCCAGGGATGATTAGTGGGGGTTTCTCTCTTGAAGTTTTCAAGCAGTGGGCTCCATATGAAAGTAACCTTATTACACTGCCAGGGTATGGCTTTATTTTGTTGATTAAAAAATTTCCATTTTTTATATTATTAAACTTTTAGGACTTTGTTAGGACTTTTCACGAACTGATTGTGCTGATAAAATTGGATTTCATCAAAAAAATAATCTAAATATTACCTATCTTGAAGCTTTACGAAGAATTGAGCAACGTGTCTCTTTTGATAAATAAAATATAGAACCAGGAAACTAGTAATATACCTAATTTTCTGTTATTTTTCACTTTATCTTTCACTTTGCTCACACTGGATGGAAATCATCCATTTCATCATTAAAATGTGACGTGCAAAGCATATGAAACACTAGGTCAAATATAAAATGGGTAAACACAAATGGTTTTAATGACACCTAATAAACACAAATAAACAAGGAAATATAAAGAAAAGAAAAAAAAAAGCACAAATTTTCATTCCCCCCTGGTGCCCCAACCATATGGTTTTTACCACCACTTCCTGGTTCGTCCTCTTCCCCCTGCAAGCAGAAGTCGGTGGGGGTTAGCATGGGAGTCAGAGAGATTTTGCCTTTTTCTTTTGTTATTTTATTTTCATTTTCTTCTTCTCTTTTATATTTCCTTTTCATTTATTGTTATTTTAATAAAAGGGTATGATGGTCTTTTCAACAAAAATGTGATTTTGTAACAAATAGGATGGATCGAAACTATTCATCAAGGACTAAGGTGGTACCGACTTCAAAATATTTAAATGTTATGAGCTTTTAGATGAGGTGGTTCAACATTACATTAGAATACACAATGGTCTTGAGTGTGAAATTCTTTACATGTGTTTGCTTTTTTGAATTACATTAATCCTTCTGTGTATTGTTTAATTAGGTATTGTGTTGCTGGAACTATAGGACATAAACTGATGTCAGCTAAAACACCTGTTCGAATTAATATCGACAAGGATACCCAAATTGACGTGCGGTGTCAGGTTCTTATACCCCCTCTATATATTTTGGTCCGTGTGTGGATATATTTTGCTTAAGATATTCGAACCATTAACTGATGGCTTCTCATGGTCAGTTGATTGCTCGCTGACATAGATATTTTGTTAGTAACCTAAGACCTGCATCACTTTTGTACATGTGCTAGGATATTGTGTTGCAGTGCTCCACATAATATTCCATGTGAAATGAAAACCTTTGAAGTTAATATTCTTCTTTGAAATTGTCAATCTTCGGTTTAAAAATCAATTAATTTTTGTTGGCGTTTGTTGAAAAAGATGTTACTTGCATCCCAGTGCCGTACTTAGTAGTTAGTTAAGGTAAATAACAATAATCGACTTTGTATTTGGGGAAATCTTGAATAGACTTTGTTCTAGGATTTTGTTTAATTGTTAGAAATCTGATTCTCATAGTTGTGGACTTCTTTAAAATGACCCACTTTATTGCATGTTCCAAAACTATTTATTTTTACCATGTTGCTAAATTGTTACCAAGGATATTGGTTCCATTTAACCATTATTTGTGACCCAATGTCAAGTTTTAGTTATTTTTGATAAAAACATCAAAATTGTTTACAATCACTTTGAATTATTTATTTGCTTTTCACCCTCAAACTAATCGTAAAAAATGAAGCTGCTAATAATAGTCTTGGAGATTTGGTCAATTTGTTGCTGTTTAGAATTTGGCTCATATAACCTGAGACTGATCACGCATTGCCTTATTTAAATGACCTGAAGTCTAAACAGCAAGCTTGTTGAATTTTTTCCACAAAGTTGTACGCGTGTGTATTCAAAGTGGCAACAACTGACTGCTTTTGCTGTGATTTTCTTCTGGTTCTGTCATAAATATTTTACTTTTTTTATATATATACACCTAACTTTATCCATCATTTTTCTAGATTCATCAGTTGTCTTTTAGTCCTCATACTGATGCCAAAGGAATCCTGGATCTTGTGAAATTTCTATCCCCCAAGAATGTGATTCTTGTACATGGAGAAAAGCCTAAAATAGCTAAACTGAAAGAAAAAGTTCAATCTGAGTTGGGAATCCAATGTTTCGACCCTGCTAATAATGAAACTGTGAGCATTCCTTTTACGACTCACTATGAAAAAGTTGGTGCCTCTGATGCACTTTTGCGGAGTACCTTGAGCCCAAACTTGAAGTTCTTAAGAAAATGCTCAGAACAGGGTTCTGATTTTAGTGATCTTGACGCAAGAACAAAACCAGGGTTGCAGGTTTTCGATGACAGAATGGCCGAAGGGATACTAATGGTACAGAGAAACCAAAAAACAAAAGCTTTACATCAAGATGAACTCATGGCTATGTTAGGAGTAGAAAGTCATGAAATCAAGTTTGCTAACTGTTGCCCAGTAGACATTGCGAATTCAGATACAAGAAATGCATTTCTTTCTCAACCAACAGTCGACAAATCCTTTTGGCTGCACTTATTGTTTGAAAAGCTTTCGAGCAAATTCCCGGAGACGAGCATCCAGGATTGTGGTGAACATCTTCAAATCGAGTCATTTTATGTCTCTGTTTGTACAAAAGAAATGTGCCCTCACAGAACTGCTAGTTTGCAATGCATGCCTGAAACAGTGTATTTCTGCTGCACCTGGACAATAGCAGATGAAAAGCTTGCTTGGGAGATCATTTCAGTTATAAAAAATTTATTGTTGAAAGAGGAGTAAATGTTTATCAACTATTTCTTGAGTTATTTCAATAAATTATGTACAATTTACAGTTCCCTGTTAGATTCGGTCAATTTATGACTTGAGTGACAGTTTTGATCATTGTTTGATTTAATCGGGGGCTGCCCTACCTATATTATTGAGAATGTCACTATATTTTTAGTCTATGTTATGTGACATTTTATCTTACAGGAGCAATAATATCTTTTACATTTAGTCAACTCGGTTTTTCTTTTTCTTTCTTTCTTTCCTTTTTTTTTTTTTTTTTTTGGGTTTTTTTTTTTATATTTTTTTTTTTTTCTTTTTTTTTTTTTTTTTTTGGGGATGTATATCTTACATGTCTTTTAACTTTTAAGAATCTTGCTGCAGTTAAAGGTGTAAAGAGAGTTGGACGTATATAAAAAGGTTGAACCCTAACTTTAAGGGTCCTTCACTGCCCCTACCCTGGAGCATCGTGAGGGAGGTAAATCGCAGGTTATGCTTCCAAGGGTACAGGGTGGAAGGCTGCTTGTACACTTGTATTTACCTAAGAGCCAAATTCATATTTCAGGATTCGAACTCTTGACGCGGCAGCCTTAAGCAAAATTGGATTTCTCCACCCTTTCCTTTTACCACTTGGAGATGTGTCCTGAGGGCAGAGTTGGACGTATATGATTGCATGGTATGGGGAAAAAGCCTTTTTTCCATGTGCAATTATGTTCAAGACTCTAGCAGATACAGGGGAAAGGAAAATTCTACTCAAACAGGGGCTGTCTGAGGTGTCAGCTCCTCAGCCCCTGATCTGAATTTTAAATCCCTGTTACTGTAGTGCTTCTCAGGGGGAAAACATAAGTGGTATGCTTAGAGCAACCCTTAACAAAATTAAAAGAAATAAAAAATTTACTCACATGATATTGTTTGATATTGTGTATTAAACATGATTTGCTTTAGGTTAATGAAATGTGACGTAGATGTCTTGAAGAATCTTATTTATTTATTTTAAATTAAAACAATCTATAATTACAGCTTTTTAAAATAACTAAGCCCCAGTTTATAAAAATCTGATTTTAATCTCAAACAAATAGGAGCATTTTTGGTAAAATTCTCACAATTCTTAAAAAAACAGTATTTTATAAAATAAAAATATAAAATACGCAGCTCAATTTATGCACATAGGCACTAAAACTCCGTCCATGGGAAGAACTTCCCTTATCCACTGTCAATGTGAGTATGGTGCATTCATTATTTTTTGTCAAAGATTTTTACAGATGATGAGGTTGCGAAAATGGTTTGAAGTTCTTTATCCAATTGTCAACGAAATTCTACCAAATGTAATTTATTTATTTATTTTAAATTACATGGATTTTTTACGTATAAAGTAATTTTGTTCTTTACAAGCGATTTTTTACTTAAAGTATATTTTAGTTATACTTTCTCATATTATTAGTTACGAAACTTACCAGATAAATATTATTAAGATATTATCACCACCAATGAAAATTATAAAATAAATATATATAAGATTTATATTGGTTTAATTGATCTTCCAAACGGGAGTACCCTAAACAGTAATATATAGATAAATATGGTCTTAAAGTCTGCAAAATTTACTAAAGCCTGTATTTCATTTCTTTAATTTGTAACCTTTTCATTTCTCTTTAATTTGTTACAGCATCTTTTGCCAGCAAAAGCCAACAGACAATTTTCCCATCTTCCAATGCACTTTTTTTTTTTTTTAAATGAAATAATTATATGCTATTTCTTGAATTAATTTTCACATTCCCAATACTTTATAAGAAAAGCAAAGTAAAATTTCAATGCTGTTTCTTATTCCTTTTTTAACTTTTATAAAGTTGCTCATCTTAACAATGAAATTCCACTCCCAAGACGACAAATCTTCCCAAAAGAGAGAAAATCATTAAAGGTCCATTTGGCATGATTTTTATTTCTTGAAGAAGAACTTTATGAAGAAATTTTTTTAGGATCCGTTTGACATGACTTTAGAGAAATTAAAATGAGTTTTTAAAATTCAAAAACTGTTTTAAACCCGCTTGATTTATTGTACAAAATTAATTCTCATAATTAGAATAGTTTTTAAAAGATACTTGTTCAATGTAATTTTCTCTAAAAACTTTTTAAAAAGACAGCTTTTAAAAATTAGTATCCAAAGATGAATTAAAAAGTTTTCTTATAAAACTATTCTACAAGAAACACAAATGAAGCTTTAACTTTCTATAGCTATACAAAGCATTTTCGAAAAATTATCCAAACATTTTCAAAAAAAACTTTTTAATCTCAATAAATAATTTTTGACTTTTTAAAAGTCATACCAAATACACCCTAACTCAAACTACGGAAACACTTATAATTATGCATTCCACAAAAAAACAAGATCTACTAGACTAGAACACATTAAATTTAGCTTAAAAATAAGAAAAGAAGCCCAAAATAACTTTTTTTAAGACAAGATTAAGAGAAGTTAATTGTCCAATAATCACTAACTTAGGTTGATATTTTAGATTATTAATTACATTTTCAAATGTCGGGTTTTGGCACTAAAATTTTCAAAATGTTGGACTTTACTAACTGGAATGACTTCCATTTTGCCATTGTAACCAAATAGTTGACATGGCAAATGGATTGAACAATTGACATTCAACCAATATTCAATCACAGAGAAATGTATTTTTGATTGCCCATTGTATTTTGTATACCAAATACTACATTATAAGTTAAATTTTATGCTTAGGCCAAAGTAATAAGAGATTTTTAGAAAACAATGTCCCTAAGAACATTTTGCATCAATTGCCGCTCCATTCATTTACAACAACATTATCAGTCACTCACTCTCAATCACAACCTAAATTAAAATTAACCAAACTACAAGGACTAAAAAATTAAATTACAAATGGAAACAACAATTAGCAGTAAAGCCCCTGAACTAGTTGTTTTATTGTAATCAAGCCCCTACCGGAGCAGCTACGGCTGGCTTCACTTTCGGTGGTCTTCCTCGGCCTCTTGGCACCCCACTTGCTGCTCCAACTGCGGTAGAAGGTGGCGGAGGCGGAGGAATACCGGTTTTCGTAAACTTTGGCGGCCGTCCACGTTTCTTGCCAGAAGCAGTCGGGCTCGGAGCAGCTTTCGGCTTAGGCGGCGGCGGCGGATCATTTGGATCCCTGGATTTGGGCGGGCGGCCACGGGGGCGAGGAGGAGGAAGAACGGTGCCGGGTGGAAGAGGAGTCTTCGGCTTCGGAGGACGGCCACGGCCACGTCGCGGCGGAGCATCTGGGCCCGGCTTCATGTAGTTGTTCTTCACAAATAGGAGCTGCCCGGTAGCCTTCATCTTGTTGAGGTGATGAGAAAGAAGAGTTGAATGGGCCGGTGGTAGATTTCCATAGGTGACCTCAATCTGCTTTGAAATTGCTGATTTGTTAGAGCCATCCTTATCATTCAACGCCTCGATCGCATTCATAATCAACTGTTAAAAAACAAGGGTTTGAATTTCAGAACAAATTGGGAGTTTAAAGATTATACGTGGAATTTTACCCCAATTTTACACAGTGACTAGAAAATTATAATGTAGGTTCAAAATCCAAAAATAAACCCACAAAGGAAAACTAAAAATCCAAACAATTACACAGTAAAATTCACCAAAAATCTTTAAATTTTAAAGCACACAAAATTAATCAACCAACCCAACAAAAAAACAGAAGGGTCTAGCTCTGTACCTCTGGATATTGAGGCAAAGCGGCAGGATGTGCACCCGTAGCTACAGCCGGCGCCGGAGACGGTGGCTGTGCATGATTAGCAGGTAGTAAATCGTTACTCTGCTGTTCTTCAGCCGCCATATCGATAAAACCCGAATACTTGAAACAGAAAAATTCGAATTATATAGAAAGAAAGAGAGAATTTTGAGAGGGAAAATATTTTCAGGAGGTGTGAACTGTGAAGCAGATGAAATTTAGATGCAGAAAATTCAGTGAAGTGAAGGGATTTAAAAAGGTAAACAGATCGAAGCAGAATCGTGTGAGCAAAAACGAAGAAGAGGATAGAGTGTTTTTTGGATTACATCAACGGGTAGGGATTCTTCGTTTCAACTTTATCTGACGGCTTAAAATTATTTTCATCAGATTCACTTGGATTGATGACGTGGCTGATCATTCCTTATCTTATTTTCAAGTTTTTCGGGTGGTTGAATTACCATATTACCCTTGGAACCCCAATAAATTTCTCAGGCAATTTGAAATTTTGGGAGGTAATCCTCTGCTGGAGTCCATGAAACTCTGTGCTACGTATCAAAATATAATTGGCTTAAGTATCAAAGTGTAAGGTTCCGCCACCCAGAGCCCCCCAATGTGATTGTTCCGCCAACTTGGATGTGCCCTGGGGGGCGAAGAGCAGGGATTTGTTTATATACACCTCAGGAGCACGGTATTAAAATTTTGGAGTAGGGCCCACATGCAGTGATGATCATGATGGCATCAAGAGTTGCATTTTGTTGACCTTTTTACTGCTAAGGTTGTGATGTTCACTTTTATTACCAATGAGGATAATATTCTCTCATATTATTTCAATTTCTATTTATTTTTTAAGATTTATGAGATATTCCTAACATAGGATAATAATATACTCATGTCTGTAACCGTTCACAATAAAGAAACAAGATATATATCAACGAAAATTTATTGAAATATCTTTTGAGTAGTAGTTATATGTATCTAAAAAATTGAGTAGTTACATGTTTTCTTTGATGCAAACTCACAAAGATCTCATAAATGAAAGAGATTTTAACACCAATATTATGTATCATTACTCGATCCTCATGTTTGTAGACATTTTCAGCTCACCAAGAATGCCTCGACGTCTCGTAAATACGAATAAAGGATTCTTAACCTGCTTCTTACCATTATTTTGAAATCACATAAGGTATCCTATTGTCCGTTGATCATGCAAATTGAAAAGGAAATTCTCTATTATATTTTATTGAATATATTGGTAGTGTATTTATACACAAAATACAGTGAAAGATAATTCTAAACTATGTACATGATAAATACAAAATAAATAAGAACCTAATCTAGTTAACTAAATAGGAGTATATAGTTAGAGGGGATAACGATAATGCTTTCTAATATTCATCAATATCTTCATCAATGGATTCTCCGCCAATACCCCCCTTCAAAGGCAG